CAGCGCGGCGGGCGGCTGCGAAGCGGGCAGCGGGCGGGCGGGCGACGCTGCAAGCGGGCAGCGGGCGGGCGGGCGACGCTGCAAGCGGGCAGCGAGGCGAGAGGGCGACGCTACGAGCGGGCAGCGAGGCGGGCGGGCGACGCTGCGAGCGGGCAGCGAGCGAGCGGGCGACGCTGCGAAGCGGGCAGCGGGCGGGCGGGCGAGGCTGCGAGCGGGCAGCAAGCGGGCGGGCGACGCTGCGAAGCAGGTAGCGGGCGGGCGGGCGGCGCTGCGAGCGGGCAGCGAAGCGGGCGGGCCGCGAAGCGGGCAGCGAGCGGGCGGGCGGGCTGCGAAGCGGGCAGCGAGCGAGCGGGCTGCGAAGCGGGCAGCGGGGCGAGCGGGCGACGCTGCGAGCAGGCAGCGCGGCGGACGAGGGGCGAGCGGGCGACGCAGCGAGCGGGCGGCTCGGCGGGCGGGCGACGCTGCAAGGGGCGCGCGAGGGCGCTAACGAGGGGCGCGCGAGGGCGCTAGCAAGGGGCGCGCGAGGGCGCTAACGAGGGGCGCTAACGAGGGGCGCACGAGGGCGCTAACGAGGGGCGCGCGAGGGCGCTAACGAGGGGCGCGCGAGGGCGCTAACGAGGGCGCACGAGGGCGCTACGAGGCTAGGGCACGGGGTAGCGTGGTAACCGCATGCGAGCGGTGGTGGGCCCTTAAAAAAAAAAACGGTCGGTAGGTCCTAGGGACCTCCTGCTCTGAATACCATGTCAGAATAACGAGGCAAGAATGAATGAACTAGCAGAAGTTTGGGTACAAATATGAAACCCTAGTTGGGGTTGTACCCCATATTGGCTACCCCACTACAGCCTACCAACATATAACACATTACAATTTAACACATACTTTGGGCCTCGCGTGAGAGAAATAATGGAAAGTGGTGCTTTTTGAGTAAACATAGGGCTAAATATGAGAAAAAACTGAAAGTCAGGAGCTGGGATAGACTTTCCCTATGAGATATGGGATGAGATTGTAATATTCGTGTGCCACGTGTCTCCCTTATGCACTCCGCCAGTGTGTGCCCATTCAGGACGGTTTGATTCCGCAGTCGCGGATGTCGCGTGGTGGTTACAACGTCCCCATTGTGTTACGCCGCCTGTCTGTTTTGTGGGGTTACTGGTTTTGTCGGGACATAGGGGTCGTATACGCGTTAGAGTAGCATCTTGCTTATTGCGTCTTCAAATTTCATCAGTTACGGATATGTTTCGATCCATTGAATGATTGTGTTTTCCCCGTCATAATGGTTTGGAGGTCACGCATCACAAGTAGTTCATTTCGTGCGGTTAAGTTGACGATAGCTATGAACATCTTTTATTGAGAATAATAACATGTTTGAAGATTTTTTGAAGTGTATAGTTAAATTACCTGCATCGATTTCCCAGTTGTTCTTGTGTTTTTTGGGGCTCCATTGTAGTGTGAAAGACGAGTTTGCAAGCAAATATTGGCAGTACATATGATAGACGTTTAGTGTTATAGTTGTTTTTTCTGTAGCGTTCAAGTACTGTACTTGTAATGTTATTTTTCTTAGAAATGTTTACGTTTTCTTTTCAGTTTTGTCGTATACAGGGTGGTTCAGTTGGCCAGTGGCCTCACGTGTGTTTCCCGGCTTTTTTCCGTCAAACATGATGTCGACGCACCGCCGATTTTCACGGGGCGCGAGTTGTCACATTTGAGCATTTCGGCGTGTCCCGCCAAGAGCATCCCTTGTGTGCCAATGAGCAATCGGCCCAGCACTTCTCCTCGTGAACCTGTGACTGGAATTTGGAATTCCAGAATCCAGTATACACAAGCATTGAGCACTTGCTCACTCCTGAGAGTAACAATCTAAGCAAACCACGCTTCACGATACCGCCTTCCACATAGACTGCGACCGGTACCTGGTGTCTACGGGCTTCACTTGCGGGCCTGCAGGCGGGTAAACGGCTTGTATCGGTCCTATCCAGTGGCATTGTCGCGGGTGTTTTGCCTTATCCCAAGGTGAGGCACTTAGCTTATTAATACATATGGAATCCCGGCGCGGAGATTATCATTGTCGTCGCGTTCGCGCCAAGTTGCCGCACTTTCCTTGTCGCCGTGGCGTACCCCGTCGCCTTTAGCTTCCCACCGTCGCCTTTGCTTTGCCTCGACGCACACGCTTGCCCTCTTCGCGGTCGGTTTCCCCCTTCCCGCCCGCTTTCCCGCTTCGCGCACTCCTTCCCTCGTCGCCCTTTCTTCCCACAGTCTCTATGTTCTCCCCATCGCCCACGCTTTCCCCCGTCGCCTGTTCTGTCCCCCGTCGCACACGCACCCCATCCGCGCTGACGGTTTCTCCCGTCGCCCTCGCATTCCCGTGTCGCCCTCGCCTGCCTACTCGCCTTCCCGTGTCGCTATCTCTTACCACCGTCGTCCATGCTTTCAACCGTCGCCCTGCATTCACCCCGTCGCATTTTCAAACGTAAGTCGCACTCGCTTTCCCGCGGCGACCTCGATTCCCCCGCCTCTCACGCTTTCCCGTGTCGCACACGAATTCCCCCGTCGCCCACCTTTCCCCCGTTGCCCTTGCATTCCCCCGGTCGCTTTTGCGTTCCCCCGTCGCCTCCGCTTTCCCGAATCGCACACAATCTCACACGTGGGCCACCTTATCCCCGTCGCACCCTCGCCTTCCACCGTCGCCTTTGCTTCACCCCGTCGCCCTTGCTGAGCCCCGTCGCTCTCGAATTTGCGCGTCGCCTTTGCATCTTCCAGTCGCCTTAGATTCGCATCGACAGCCTTGGATTCCCGCCTTCGCCCTTATTTCACGCTATCGCATTTGCTTCTCCCCGTCGCATATGATTTCCCTTATCGCCAGCGGTCGCCTTTGCTTACGCCCGTCGCCCTTGCCTTCCGTGGTCGCCGCCTTGCCTTCTCCCCGTCGCACCTCGTTTTCCCCCGTCGCCTATGCTTCCCCCCCCTTCGCCCTTGTTTGCCCCGTCGCGCCCTCGCTTTCGCGCGTCACCTTTGCATCGCCCGCCTCGCCTTTGCATCCCCCCGTCACCCCCTCTTCCCCCCGTAGCTCTGCTTCCCCCCGTCACCCTTTCATCCCCCGTAGCCTCTGCTTTCTCGCGTCGCCCTTGCATCCCCCCGTCACCCCCCCATCCCCCCTCTGCTCTGCTTCCCCCCGTCACCCTCCCATCCCCCCGTAGCTCTGCTTCCCCCCTCTGCTCTGCTTCCCCCCGTCGCCTTAGCATCTCCCCGTCGTCTTTGTTTCCGCGGTCGCCGTTGCTTCCCTCCCGTCGCATCTGATCCGGGGGTGTCGCTTTGCACCATCCCCTCATCATCCCGCCCCCACTTTCTTCGCTCTCAACAACCGTCCCCCCCCTCCCCCCACCCTGACCATCCCCACCCCCCATCGTCCCTCAGACTTCCAGAAAAGACGGCATGCTTCCCATCTCTTCCCCGCATCCACCTCCCTCTCCATCCGGCCTCGTCCCCCATGGTCCACCCCCACTTATCTCTCACTCGGTTCTACCTCACCATCACCATCCTCCCCCCCCTCCTCTTACCCCATTGCAGGATGGCCTATGTTTGCGGAATATGTGGGGCTCAAGGCTTCTCTGGTCGGGGCCCCCTTAAAAACCATCAAAACGGTGAAACCTGCAGAATGACCGCTGCCAATCGCAGTTCGCATCAGACTTCATCGCGCACCATGCATGTATCCCGCATAGCACAAGCCACCATGCCCACCCCGTCGTTGTCCATCAGCACCCCATCCTCTCCCGTGCATGAGGCTCATCCTCCCCCCCCTCAAGACCCACCCCCCAACAACACACAGCCCGAATCCCAAGGAGAGGAGGGCGTTCAACAAGAGTGTGCACCAGGTGATGTCAATGGCGAGGAAGGTGAGAGCAATCCCTTCAATTTTACGGATGCCTTTGCTCACTCTCTCTTGACTTGCAATTTGTCAAAGAGTGCCATTAACAATCTCTTGCAAATCCTGAATCTTGGTGACAAGTTCAAGGACGATGTAGTGGTGTTCCGCAATGCGCGAGACGTTGAAAAATACGTCGATGAGCGCGTCCCTGATCCCCATCGCAATTGGCGTCGGGGACTTGTGCGCGTGAAATCGAAAACCGCACTAGAGTTTTTCTTTTGTGATGGTGTCATTGGGATGGTAGATCTGTTGACGCATCCCAAAAACTCGGAAAAACTTGTCCTCAAACCCACCACGCGCACCGATGATCAAACCCATGTGTACTCAACACCTTAAACCGGTGATTGGTGGTTCACCCTTCACAATGAGGTGCAAAAGATTGATCCCGAAGGTGTCGTTGTCGCCCTCATATTGTCGAGCGACGAGACCCATATGGACAAGCGTGGTCGCGTGAAAGGTCATCCTGTTTACCTAACTTTGGGTAACATTGACAAGCACGACCGCTGGAAGCCATGGGGTCACGTACTGCTAGCACTACTTCCCGAGTTCACACCAGAGTACGATTCAGTCGATAAGTTGATCGTGTTCCAGCACATCCTCTCAATGGTCATGGAACCATTAAGAAAGGCCTCACACACAGGGGTGAGGGTGAAGGACCCGAGCGGTGCCACATACAATGCCTACCCTGGTTTGTATGCGTACGGGTGCGATTACCCAGAGTCGTGCAAGGTGACTTGCACAAAGTCGGGGGCCCTCACGAGCCATCCACGTTCGTTGTGTGCAGTCCCGGCGTTGCAAACAAACAAATTTATTCATCGCATCAACCCTCGCACGCCACTTTTGCAAAAGGGCATAGCAACCCTTTTGCAAAACAAAAGCTACCCGCCGGGACTATCTACCATCTCTACACACCCGGTGAACTGTTTTTTGTGGGGCTGGCATTGGGAATCGATACCCATTCTGAACCCCTACTTATGCGTCATGCCTGATATCATGCACCAGGCTGATTTGGGAATTCTCGTGCACATCCTAGACATTCTGCGTGTGAAGCTAACAACCGCACAGAAAAGACTCGCCGATGAGAGGCTTGCGTACCTGCGAGAACACAACCGCAATCCATTCATGCGCTTGCCTGGAGGCGAGTATTTCTCCCAGGGGGCGAGCTACCAGGCGTACGAGCATAGGAGTGTTATGCAAGTCCTTCCATTTCTTTTGCGAGGATTTGAGACCACAGTCCCGCAGGCACAAATGGATGCGATTGCAACGTACATCGTCTGGTACACCTATTGTGCACGAACGAGCGAGCACACGACAGCGTCACTGCGTGATCTGAAACACAAGGCTGAGAGGTGAGTCCACATACCGCGTATCGCTTAATCCTGCTTCCATTCACACTCTGCCATGCCTGCCACTCATGTGACTGTCGTCGAGAAGGTTCAACCAACCTAAATCCTTGCACCACCACTCTCTTTCCTCGACAGGATGATCACCGCTCTCGTCGTGGCGTTTCTTACGCAGGCCTCCAAGTGGAGGTTCATTAAGATGCACCTAATCAGCCATTACATCGACTCGATTCGTCGAGCGGGGTTGCCCGAGCACTACTCAACACAAATGTTCGAGCACTTGCACATTGAGTACATCAAGAACCCCTACCGAGCCTCGAATAGGCGCACGACTACGTCACAGATCATGAACAGCGAGGTCATGCGTCTGCGGCTCGAATCTCTTGCACCAATCCTCGGCAAGCGTAAATCGTACGACACGTGCATGTCTGAGGTGAGCCTTCAATTGAGCGTAACCTTTCTTGAGCACTTTTAGTGTCTGTTTAGTGGCCAGGAGAGGCTGGACACGGGTCTTGGGAGACTGGCGGCTGGTGGGTGTGTTGATGGGTGTGTATGGGTGTGTATGGGTATGGATGGGTGTGGATGGGTGCATGGATATGTATGGGTGTGTTGGCATATGGGCACTGCTGCAACCATTACCACAGCCAGGAAAGGCTCGACGCGGCCCGTGGAAGACTGGCAGTTGCCCCCTGGTGGGTGTGTATGGATGGGTCCGGGTGGGTATAGGTGGGTATGGGTGGGTGTATGGGTGGGTGGGAGTGGGCAGGAGGAAATGCAGGTGGGTGCTGATGCAGGTGGGTACTGATGCAGGTGGGTACTGATGCAGGTGGGCTGGGTACTGGTGCAGGTGGGTACAGGTGCAGGTGGGTACTGATGCAGGTGGGTAATGGTGCAGGTGGGTACTGATGCAGGTGGGTACTGGTGCAGGTGGGTACTGATGCAGGTGGGTACTGGTGCTGGTGGGTACTGATGCAGGTGGGAACTGATGCAGGTGGGTTGGGTACTGGTGCGGGTGGGTATAGGTGCTGGTGGGTACTGATGCAGGTGGGTACTGATGAAGGTAGGTACTGGTGCAGGTGGGTACTGATGTCTCTAATAATCCCTTTTTCTTCCAAACCCTTCAGGCACAGAGAACGGGGGAACGGGTGATGTCTCGCGAGAGTTGGAGGCTCCTGGTGCCGCATAACCGGCATGAGGCACCGTACGTTGTGCCCTTGACCCCTGATTCCGTCCGAGATGTGGAGTTCACCTCGGCGTTATCCGCGGACTTACCGTTCCTGCGCAACGCCCTCAACAATGCCCCTGATTGTGCGGGTCGTACGATCGACACCATACATGTAAGATGGACTCAATTCATGCATTCGACGACCTCATTGACCTGGTTATTAGCCAAGTACAACAGATCTTATGCAAGGACTTGAAACCATGTCGCATGCCTATCATACTTCGTCTATGTAACCACCCCAAACCCTCTTTTTTGCCCTTTTCCGTGGCATGTCTCTTCACAGGTCCACAACGGGTTAGCCATGCCAGCTGCCGTTGATGCATCATTCAGCCACCTACCACATCTCGTCAGGGCAGCACCGATGTTCTATGGTCGGCCATGGTTCTCCAATATAGCGGTTGTAGGAGAGGATGAATTAGGTACCACGGAGTGGTACGCCAAGGTGTTGATTCTGTTTCAGGTCCGGATTGGCCGGGTGCTGAAACCATATGCTTTCATCAAATTCTATGATGAAAGCAGGACAGCAGATACTGCAACCAGGTGTAGGAAACTCAACTTGGCACCATCCAATGATCGTTACCGCGTGATTGCAATCACTAGCATCTTGCGAGCAGTAGAGCTGATCCGTACAGCTCCGACCGAGGATTGCTGGCTTGTGAACAAATTCATGTTCTGAATATTCGTCCTGCTTGATCTATTCCTTCTTACTCTTGGCTAAGTAATCCATGGTTGAAGTTCAAAAACAGGCTAATACTCTTATACGAATTCTGTTCACATGTTCCTACAAGGTGTTCTGAAGGTGTAATACTACATGTACAGATTCTTATCGCGCTATTCAGAGATGCACCAATGGTCGGCGCGGTAATAGATTCCCCCGCAATTGGTGGGCCCCGAATCGGCACGTTTTGGGGAACAGTGATGCTGCCGCCGAGGTGGTGGTTTCTTGTTGTGGCTAAGGCCCACACATCCGCCTCTCAACATCCCAATTGCGCGCATTGCTGTTCCGCACGATTCTGTCGCAGGAACCTTGGCAGTGTGCGACTGGCAAACGCGATTCAGAATCAGTGCGCAGCGCGACTCACGACCACGATGAAGCGGTTCCGGAATACTGCTAATTAACAACCAATCCCATTCCACCCTTATCTTCCAGCTGGAATCGCGCATGCATTTGAGCGACAATCACGGCATTGACGCTGCATGGTGTCTACAGTAGACGAAAATTCTTACAGGTTGCCTGTTTTGTTCCCGTGTAAAGTTTCGCACTTGCGCACCCCATCCCGAAACCTGTATTGCTCGCTAGACACAAGCGCTTAACAGCGAACACACTAAATTTGATTTGGTTGGCGCGTCTTCAATTTTGATTTTGCACACAACTTCCCTGTCGTCGGTGCTGTATAACACTGTTTGTTACCCTGATAAATTCAGGGGTATTCGCGGTTCTAATTGCCCAATTTCAAGCCTCCATGGGGTCAAAAGAATCGTGTCGCTCAAGACTGTCTATCGCAACAAACCTGTCATATATCACCACTTCCACAACGCCTGCGACAAAAGTACATCGCACAGCTTCCGTGATGTCTAGGGTGCAGTGAACTTCTTGTGGCGGGAAGCGAGCTCACGCGCCCGAAAATGGCTCTGACGTTGTCACGCTGGATGCTGCTGGTGTGCCAGTTGACGACTCTGCGACGGGAAACGACAACGGTGACGTCCTGGAGAAGATCCAGTCGTTCATGACGTTCATGGACCTTATGAAGGCGAATGGGATGCTTCCCCAAGAGCTACGAAAGAAGCCGAAGAAGGGTAGCATGGCAGCAATCTCCTAAAACCCAGCATCACCAACGCCTTCTCCCGCTGTGCCTGCTGCAGGCACAAGTTCCAGCCCTCTGGAAACTCTGAACAGCGGGGCTGTAACAGACGCCCCGCTTGATCTCACAGAGGCTTTTGCAGTTGCAGCTGAGGGTACTACCACCGCGGACGAACCTGTCAACGCCCACGGTCTGCCACTTGTTTCTCGCTCTCGCACGGGTACGTCTGTAATTTTCCAGCGGCTCATTTCTTGAGTCTTTTGCCTTTGCTATAAATCCGACATCGTCTTCTTGATTTATTCTAACACACTAAACCCTCTCGCGTTGGCTTGCATTTCCCGTATCAGTCACCCCCTCAGCAGGCTCCCAAGAAATCGTGCGTCTTCGTTCTGAGGTGGAAGATCTTCATAACTCGTTGAAGATAACGCAGGAGCAGGCCCTTGACTTGCAGATCGCGCTGGACGAAAGGAGGCGGCTTACACAACTCTTACCATGCGCTACGAAGAGCAGGATGCTCTGATCCAAGCTCTGCGTCAACAGATTGCGAACACTGTTAGCACGAATGGCGCTGTTGTCAACACCGCCATTCTGCCGACGTACGACCTGCAGTCGCTCCCACGGGACCAAAACAACGTAGTGATTGTCCCGGCCACCCTCGACCAGGACCACCTGTTTGGGGTACGTATCCCTAATCCGACATGCCATCATTTACGATGTTGCGTATTATGTTCACGCTTGTTATTGACGTATGTGTACTATCCATGTCACCGCTTTTGCAATGGTCCACTGCTCTACCTGACAATGTTCACCTTATATCCTATCAATGATCGAGTACTTGTTTTCCGTTTCAGAAAAAAGCACTGGAGGCCTTCACCTACATGACTACAACTGCACTGACCTGGAGGCTTCTGTTCTACCTGTCGTGGCCCGAGCTGCGGGAGATGATGGCGGAGAAATATGCTGAAGCTGGCGTCTCGAGGGACATGTTCTACTACGTCATCTGCAACTTTCCAGCTAAAGAGAACATCGCCATGCGGAAGGTGTCAGAGAAGCGAAGCAACTACAACTCTGACATTAAGACGTACGGTCGCGGTCCGGGCGGATGTGTCGCCGAGAGCAAGTTGAAGGAACTCGCGGACGAGGGCGTGGCTCCCACCACCACCAGAACACCTGCTGAGTGGACCCTGCACTTTCTGCATGGTAAGATTTCATTTTTTCCACCGTTCACGTGCGTATGCCTTAGTTTTATGACATGCAGGTGCTCATTGTAATATCTCGCAACATGGTATGCTAATATATGTTTCCTGCCTCTGGTGTTCAATGTTATTCACAGTGCGGTTCGGGTCGAAATGGCATTTCTGCATTGTGAGCTCCCGGCCATTCGCCAACCGTTCCTTTGAGCTAGTGCTGCTGCGCGGTTTTGGCAGCAAGAAGGCGACCACCGTCATGGTGAAGATCCCATTGGTGGGATATGCCTGCAACGTGGTGAGTTATTATGCTATCATTGAGCCTGTTTCGCATCAGTACGTTATAACGTACTAACATTCTTCTGGTCTATTTGCAGGTGGAATGGCCCTTGGCAAATGCCAGGGGCCGTGCCAATCCCTCCCTTGACACGTCTGAGACGGTCAACCAGCAGAACGTGGAGCTGAAGATCTCCCACGTGGTGACCTGGATTAAAGAGACCTATGAGAACGGGATCCCGTGGCTCCTGCTGGCTTCCGGATGTCCCCGAACGTCAAGATTCTGATTGAGGGATATGAGAGCCAGATTTTCCCCAATGGATTGCCCTAGATGTGGATCTGGGGAGTGTGCATTGTTCACTACAGAGTACCGTAACATTGCCAAGATTTGTAGTAGTTTAACTGGTTCTAGTAGTGACGTATGAGGCATAAGTAGCAATGTTTCTAGCAGTAACAGTAATTGACATAAATTAAACATTTGGTTATTAGCAGCATATGTAGTTTTCAATTGTGAACAACAAAAACAATTTATAAACAGCATTGGACAATTAACAACAAATATATCTATAAACAGCCGTAAAAAAATAGAGACCCTATCATACAAGTGTATATATCAAAACTATTGTCACTGTTTATTCGGCCAAGCAGTAATTTCTGGACAAAACTTTTATAACCGGTCCCAAAGAACATATAACGTGGTGTACACCTTTTATGTGGGAAAATTCCGAACCTGTACTTTCCCCGACGTCACTGTACGTGGATGTTACTTCGATATTAGGTTTCGCTAACAATTTACGAAATCCCGTAACCAGATCACCAGGACGAATCGAGGTGGCAGGGGTTCTGCGGAATTGCCCAATAACTCATCGGAACCAGATATCAACAGCCAGTCCAACTTCCACGTGTATCCAGTCGCGTCCTTCAATGCTGATTTCCGCGCGTTTCTGGGAATGCCTACAAATAGTAACAGAGCTGCAATTGAACGGGTACGATCAAACGCATTGGCTACAGTGACGCGTGGAAACAGATCAACATCGACGATCTACTGCACGACCGATCTAGGACCTGATTCGTAAAAAACCATCTACAATCTACAACACCCCCGGTAAGCAGTTGGGTTCGCACCATTCCCAACCAAAAGCACACCAAACCAGAGCAAATCAGTCCCCGCTTTTTTCTGATGCCCCACCCCCCAGCCTTGGCGCAAATAGCTCCCCTTTTCCCCATTCTCTACCTCCCAATAAGTGGACTGTGAGCGAGGTCGATTGCTATTCGGGAAACACAATGCGACGCGCATGGACGGTGGTTTGGGAGGGCGTACAGTGCAGCCCTTCATCGCGAATGGACGGTGAAGAGCTCCTATCCGAGATCGCGAAGGCTCTTGGCGCGTGCTTTTAACCCGAGACTTTTGCTCAAACTCGCGGAAGCGCGGTTTGATTTATTATCGCCACGTGGCGAGCCTATGATCGCGTGAAGCGCGATCTGTTTTATTGTTATCATAAAATTCAAGAGAAATTGAGTTAAGTGCTGTACTGCGCTGCCCGTGGGCAAAAATAAAACCCCTATAGGTAAGGCATGCGTTAGGGATGCATCAACCCTAAACACCTAGAGGCAAGGTGTTTAGGGTTGATGCCTCCCTAACGCATGCCAGGCCCGAATGAGTTTTATTTTTGCCCACGGGCAGCGCATTACAGAACTTAACTAAATTTCTGTTGAAGTTTGTGATAACAATAAAACAGATCGCGGTTCACGCGATCGAAGGCATGCCACGTGGCGACAATAAAACAAACCGTGATTCCGCGGGATTGAGCAAAACTCTCTTTTAACCCAGAGCATCCGTACAGTACAGCTCTCCATCGCGACGCGAATGGACGGTGAAGAGCTCTTATCCATGATGCCGGAGACTGCGGATAGTCAGTCAGGTGCCTTCGTTTGTCAGATATGCCACTGCTACACCCTAATGCTCACTCAACCGCCCAATCTGAACACGCCCACTGCCACTCCATACGCCCAGTGGTCGACATTTACAGCCAACGGCCCGCGCGTTACTAGCCCACGACAAAACTAAGATATTCTTGACCTCGAATAAGTTATTCGAGTTTCCCAGACAAGACACGCCAGGCTACCCAGATACAGTCCCATTCTCCCCGTAGCGAGTGCGTGCTCGAAAGAGAAGCACAGAGAAAGATGGGGAACGGGACTGAAATGGGCATCAGGTGTAGTGGAGAAGGCAGGCAGGTTCAACAGTCTGCTGCAGCACTGACAGCACTGCTAAGGACGCGGTATAAGTGCCCGATCGGGGAAAACATCGATCTGCCACCGCAGTGTAAAAGCTTTTTCGCATACAAACAACACACAAACACTACGTAACCTACTGCAACCGCGTCCAGAAACTAACCTGAGGCCATCGATTATAAACCCAGCCCGTCCGTCTGGCCCGCGTTCGCAATCGCAACAAACACCAGCATTTCGCAAGGTGGTCGTTTCGATGTATGGGAAACCCGAAATCCTACAGCGGATCAGGAAAAATATTTGGTAGGAAATGCTGCACTGAACCGAAGTGCAAATCCACGAAAGTGTTTTGAGCCGCAAATGAACACCACGACGAATGGTATGGTAATGAGCGTATAAGCAGGTTACAAGAGGGCCACTTTCGCTCACTTCAGTAAAAGCAATCAAGTCCGATGTCGTGCACTTTGGAGAGGCGTTCCTACTTCACCACTTTGAAACGCTATACACCAGTTCGAACATTGGTACATGGACTGTAAACACCTCATGTAACCTGTCCTTCCCTGGGGCATTGTCTCGTGGTTTGAAACCGCAAAACTCTTGCCAGGTGCTGATGCAGGTGTTGTGTTATAAATGAACTTGTAGAGAGCGCAGAATAACGAATAACGAGTATGGTTCAATACTAAATGACGATACACACCAAGTGACGAGGCCTAAGAGCGTGTTCCTACAACCTCATATCAGGAAACCTCATATCAGAATCGCCTAAAACACCAATTTTTCGGATTGATCGTATCTTTTACTGTTTAATTTCTTCGTTTGATGCACGACAAAAAACGCCGCGTGATTTTCACATCTTTGTTCCCGCCAAAACAAGAAAGTTTCGTATGTGCTGTGCGTGATTACCAGACGCGGCTGGCACAGCACGCGACAAATTTCGGGCGCGACAGTTTCGTCGTGGAGCACTGTGAGAAGGTCATCGAAACACTGTTCAATCCACCGATCAGAGCTGTGCTTGTGCGAATTTCGGTGCGAGTGCTTGGCATGGATTGCTGATGTGGCACGTCTGGCCAATTTCGCGCGCGAAAATCACATTGTGCAAAACCGTTTTTTCAATTATAGAAATCAGCAAACTATAACGAAAACTTCGAGTCTTTCAATTACTGATACGAGGTTGGCCTGATATGAGCCTTTAGGAACACACTCTAAATAGGGGAAGTCCTAGCTAGGTGGGGAGGTCGGGCGAAGATGGCTCGGTGATGGTTGCGATTGGAGCGGTGGCGACTCGGAAGTGGTTCGGGGCGGAATTGTAGGCCGAACCGGGCTGACGCGTGGACTTCTGGTTGTACTCGCTAAAATGCGAGTACAGTAAGGAATTACAATTCCTTACACTCTCCCACCTTCCAAATAAGGCCATATTGTACTTGAAGAATCCCACACTAGCGAAGATGCCGTATATCTTCTCTTCAGCTAAATCTGGCGCCCGAAATGCCTTTGACAATAGTTTTTAAAAGGTTGGAATGTAGGCCTTTGATGATGTCAGATTTCAATCTGACTGTCGACGATGAACTGGCCCAATTGTTTTTTCAATGTTAGAATGTGGGCCATTGTGTTAGAATAGTAAAGTGTCCTAGGCTTAGGAGAAACCCTAGCCTGGGTGATAGTCGAGAGTCATGAGAGGTGAGTTGGCCAAAGAAGGGTTGCACTATGAGAGAGATGACAAGATATACGAACGGGGAAGGTGGTGAAGGGAGGTAGACCACCTAACACGAAAGATGGGGTGATACTACACTAACTAACAATGCGTGTAATTATATAAGAATAATATATTCTGACATCCCCCCTTAATTGCATGCAAGGCTAGCTAGGGTAGGGGCTCATCCCGAAGCACCGTGCGTGCAACTTGAACCACCATGGTTGAACCCCCGCAACGGGCGCCGGTGTATGCAACGAGGAACGACGGCGCCCAGATACGACGGATAGAGAATAGACAAGGAACAGTACATGCTCTCTCTCTCCCTCTCTCTCTCCCCCCCCCTCTCTCTCTCTCTCTCTCTCTCTCTCTCTCTCTTTTGCATCCCCCCTTAACCTCTCTCATCCCCCTTAAACTCTCCTCCTTCCCCCTCCCCCCCTACAGCAACAAGTGCTGCAGGGAGAGAGGAAGAGGGAAAAGGGGGGGGTGGGGGGGGGACGGGCTGCTAATGGTTCACACCCGCCACCCCCACAGCTCCCCCTCCCCCCTTCCACGGCGGAAACCGTGGAAGGGAGGGCGGGGGGGGGGGCATCAGCTAGTGTTGGCGCTGGCGTTGGCGTCTAGCACTGGCGCTGGCGCTGGTGTTGGCGATCGGCCCAGGCGCTGGCGCTCGTCGCTGGCGTCCGCGCTGGCGTTGGCGGCCGGCCCTGGCGCTGGCACTCGTCGCTGGTGTCCGCGCTGGCGCTGGCGGATCGCGGGGCGACGAAACGGCGTGGGGCGACGAGGGGGGGGGGGGGGGGGGGGGGGGGGGGGGGGGGGGGGGGGAAGACGACGGGAAGGCGCGGAGCGACGAGGGGCGCGACGAGCGGGGGATGCGACGACGGGCATGACGGGCAGGCGCTTCGGGCGCGACCGGGCAGAGCGCGACGGGCATGACGGGACGGGACGGGTAGGCGCCTCGGGCGCGACCGGTGACGGGAAACAAAAATAGACCATATCGCGCTGCCGCGTGAGCGGGCCCATGTTCCTGAAAGAAAATAGGTCCTAAGACCGTAGTAGCTCTGATAGCATGTTAAACAAGGTACTTAGGGTACATTTCGCTCAGGATATGTCACAAAAGAAAGTGTCACAAACGTATTTGTGACTAATTGTGATACCCCAGAGCCCGCGCGCCGCCCTTGCAGCCCGCGCGCCGCCTCTGGAAGCCCGCGCACCGCCCTTACAGCCCGCGCGCCGCCTTTTGCAGCCCAGGAGCTGCCTCTTACCTGCCCGTACGCCCTCCCCTGCCAGCGCGCCGCCCTTCCCTGACCGTGAGCCGCCCCGCCCTACCCTACGCGCTACCCTAGTGTCTGCTCGTCGCCCTGC